TTTTTTTTTTTTTTTTTTTTTTTTTTTTTTTTTTTTTTTTTTTTTTTTTTTTTTTTTTTTTTTTTTTTTTGTTTTGGGACAATTAAGAAAACATTTGAACCAATAAAGAAACCCTTTTGGTGAAGTGAGTGAGAGATTCCTTTTGAAAATGGCTCGTTCCTTTAAACGAGCGCTTTTTCTTTTTAAGAATAATCATTTTTAATTTTAGTTGATATGACGTTAGGTGTAACTTCGAGTCAATAAAAATTCATCCTATAAAAAAACGTAAAGCATATAGAATATTGATATGATATTCATGACAGTTACGATTGAATTATGTATATTCTTACAAAATAATATTTTCTGAATATAGATAATATTAGGAATGTTCGTAGGATTAAATAACACGAACCGATCTGGACTATCCAAGTCAAATTACGAGGGTTAGGGTTAGGGTTAGGGTTAGGTTGAGTTAGATATATTTTTTTCCTTTTCATTTGGGTTGGGTTGAATTTTTTGAAAATTGAAAATTTAGATCAATTTGTAAATTGACTTTTTCGTTGTTGGGTCAACTCAACCAACTCGAAAATAGTGTTTCAACCTAATCCAATTATGAAAATTAAGAATATTTAACATTTATAACGAAGGGCAGTGATAGGTTGTGACTTGTAAATGTTTAATAGATATTTTAGTTATTTAAAATGTACTTTAGATAATTTTAATTTTTTTAAAATAATTAAAAAAATAAAACAACTATTAAAGTCAATAATTTAACCAACCCAATGTTGTGCACAGTAACGCCACAACCTTCAATGCTTTCATATCACTTGTTGTGTCGTAAGACCACAACTTAAATGCTCTGATACCTAATTATTGTAGAGAAAACGGAAGTAAAATTGATCGCACTCACATCCCCATACACATAAATTAAACAAAAAGACAGATTTACATGGTTTGGAGAGAAAAAATTATCCTACCGTTGTAGCTAATCAATATAATCAAAGTGTTTACAAGTGTATCTCTCACACCATTACACTACAAAATCTCTCTACAAAAGTTCCTCTCAATTGACTCCAGTCAAATACAAAATAACAATGAATTTACACTTCAAAATAATGCTAGACAAGTTATTATATAAGTACAACCGTACTCATTCCAACCAAATGAAGAATATAAATCAAAATGGTTAAAACTAAATAAAAGTTAATAATCAAAATAAATAAGAATATTAATCAAAATAGGAAGCCGTTAAAAATTAAATAAATAAAAAATAAAAACTTAAAATCAATCACAATTCTCGACAGAATAAAAAATAAATAAATAAATAAATATTTTTGTCGAGATCAAGTCAAATCAAACAGGGGAGGAAAGTCAAATTTAAATTTTGCCTCGGGCCCCTAATTATTATACAATTTTCATTTTGCCCCTTATCTTTATTAAACTTTATTAAATGCCACGTCAAACATCAAGGACGGCGAATGTACGGCAACTACGGCGGCCGGCGGGATGGTGATCCTAGTCAGCACTCAAATCCACGGGCAACACAAATTTTATTATTTATATAATTATTATAATTGGGACCCAATTATTAGTGGACATTAGACACTAAGTTTCAGCGCAAGTCACGTGCTTGTTTGCATAAAAGGGTTGGAGTCTTAATTAACCTCCTCTAGCCTTCCTTTTCTACCCCTATTTACACGTAATTAAACTCATTTTTTATTTATTTCTTCCCAATTTTCCACGTCATATATTCTTCAATTTTCTCTTAAATAATTTAAGCCTATAAATTATTACCTTTCTACGTTTGTAATAAACCATATTATTTTAAAATTTTAAAATTTTAACTTCGTTACACGTCTTACAAATTAAGCAAAAGAATTAGAATAAAATAAAGATCATAAATTCATTTAAATTCAAATATTAAAATATATAATATTAAAAAATTATGAAAATGTTTGATAATCTATTTTATTTTTCATTTTTTAGAAAAATTTAATATTTTAATCGAAAGTAAAGATATACATGTCAAGGATTTTCTCCAAATAGAGATGGAATTCTTCGTTTAGACGGAAAATGGTAAATGGAGTGATAATATTATATTTCTCGTCACCTCTTAATTTTTCGTCGCACTCTTTTAATATAAATATATTTTCAACCTAAATTTATATATATTTAAAATAAAAAGTAAATTGTAATATTTAAATATTGTAAATTTTATGTAATGGTAATATTTAAAATAAATACTATATTGTAAAAAAAAATAGAAAAAATAAATTACACGATGAAATTTTTTATGAAGATATAAAATAATATAGGTGACTACTGTAATTTGGATTAAAAAAATCAATAAGGTTTAAAAAAAAAGATTCGAAAGAGAATAATTTGTAATAATTACTTAAAAATATTAAATAAATAATATTTATTGTAAGGTCGTTAATTATTTTGTGCAAAATCTTGTATCTAATAATAATAATTATTATTATTATTTTATAGTAATAATCATAATAATAAATTTCACATTTTTTCTTTTGGAAATAAACGTCCTAGCTTAATAATTGTTTTAATTATATTTTTTTTCCATGTAAATTAAACGATTATATTTTTAAAATTTATAACTAATGTAAAAAATATATTTAAATTTTTAGTCAAATTTTAACAATTAAAATATAATGAATTTGAGCTTCTTTTTAAATTTAAAATTTAAAAAGTAAAAACAAAATTCTTGAATAAAAAAACCATTTTCGTAGTCTTTAAAAATTAATTATGTTTTTGAAAACTTTGTCAAAAGTAAATTACATAAATCAATAATTTAAAAAGGAAAAATAATAGACAAAAGCGTATGTCTGAATGTCCTGAACGACGACAATCCTTTTTTTTTTTAAAATAAAATAATTTTAATTTTAATTTAGGATGTGAATTAAAAAAAATAATGGAAAATAATATATGTCAGGTTCAGAGGGTCCTGTCGTGGAGATATCCGGGATTTGCATGTGACAATAACATTCCTTCTTCGGTAGAGTAAATTGATTGGTGTGAGGATTATGAGATTTTAAAAAATAAATAAATTCAATTTAATTATTTCAATAATATGAGGCGAAAAAGGAAAAATTAAAAGGTGCCTGCGGGTTTTACGGTGCAAGGACGAATAAGAAAAAGTGGAGTTGTTGACACGTGGACAGCTGCTAACCATTGGATCAAGATTTTAGCTCGATCTTATTCATTGAAACTGGAAGACAGACAACAGTCCATGAAGTGCCCACTCCTAGATTTTCATGTTCCCTCTCTCTCTCTCTCCCTCTCTCTCTCTCTCTGTTGCACTGTGATCTTTGTGTGTACACTTACCCTATTGCCCTAACTCGGTAGGAACGAGCGGAGAATCTCTGTTTAAACGATGAAAAGAGACTTAAATAAATTTTAGCTAAATGAGACCCGTTCTTGTTTCCGTGCCTGTCTCCGCCCCACTTTATGTATATATTTAAATCAGATACAAATCATATACCCATTGTTAGTCCTTTTTTAATTTGTCAGTTATTAAAACGTGTATGCTATGGACATGTTTCTATACCAAGAATGTTTCGTTCTCCTCTTTAACCGATATGGGATCTCACAATCCACCCTATTTCGAGGCCCAGTGTTCTCGGTAACACTCGTTTCCTTCTCGTATCCTTACTAGCACATTGCCTTGTGTCCACCCCTTTTGGGGCTCAACGTTCTCACTAGCATTCGTTCCCTTCTCCAATCGATGTGGGATCCCTCAAATTCACCCCAATTTAGAGCCTAGTGTCTTTACTGGCACACTGCATTGTGTCCTCCCCTTTGAGGCCCAACGTTCTCACTAGCACTCGTTCTCTTTTTCAATCAATGTGAGATCCTCTCAATCCACCTCCTTCAAAGCCCTTAACATTCACGTTGACACCTGTTCCCTTCTCCAATTAACGTGGAACTCCCCCTCCCAAATCCACCTATACTCAAGTCCAACGTCTTTACTGGAACACCGCCTCGTGTCCACCCCTTTCAAAATTCAACTTCCTTACCAGCACATATCCTATTGTCTGATTCTGATATCATTCATAACAGCTCAAGCCCACGACTTACAAATATTGAGGTTGAATACAAACATAGAGATATGTTTGGTGAGAGGATATCATTGGTCTACTTATCTTAAATGAGGAGTTTTTGATTTTACAAAGAGGAGAGAGAAAGCAGGCAGTTTCCATGGCGGCGTTGCAGAGCTCTAATTCCGTGCCATAATTGCATCGAAATGAGAAAGAAAAGAGAAAAAACCAATTTTTTTTTTTTTTTTAAAAAACATTTCTTTTATCACTTTGAGTTTATTAAACATTTATTTAATAAAAAACCCATTAATAATTCTTTAAAAAAGAGAGAAAATCAATGTTATTTTCAGATATTAGGGCAAAAAAATGGCTGAATTGTTCTATGTAGGAGGAAGAGAAGAAGGCCCACCAAACAAAGAACAAGAACAACAGAAACAAACACAACCCACCTTGTTTATGTACCGAAACGATCAACAAATCCACCACAAAGGCTTCGAAATATGGCCTCCACATTACCAAACCCACTTCTCCTCCGCCGTTGGTCAGAGCCACCGCACCGACTCCGATCACCCCTCCAGATCCGCCTTCACCGCCACCAGACCCGCCGCAGCCATTGCCGGAGGCATCAATTGCCAAGACTGCGGCAACCAAGCTAAGAAGGATTGTGCTTATTTGCGGTGTAGGACTTGCTGTAAGAGCCGAGGGTTTCACTGTCAGACTCACGTGAAGAGCACGTGGGTTCCGGCGGCTAAACGCCGTGAACGGCAGTTTCGCGGTGGGGATAATTCCAAACGACTTAGAGAAACCCAATCCGCCACCGCCACCGCCACCCTTCATTTGCCCTCCTCCTTCACCTCAGGTAAAAAAAAAAAAAAAAAAATCACTAATTTTTCTGACTAATTAATTTATTAAATTAATTAATTACACTGTTGGGTTAGAATTGGAGAAATTTCCATCGGAAGTGAACTCACCGGCGGTGTTTCGGTGTGTGAAAGTAAGCGCGATGGACGATGAGGATGAAGAGTTTGCATATCAGACGGCTGTGAATATCGGAGGCCACGTGTTCAAAGGAATTCTCTACGATCAAGGCTCTGAAGTCCATTACACCGCCGGCGAGAGCTCCTCCGGCCACGTAGGAGATGGATCAGTACACCCACTTAACTTAATTGCTGGACCCTCCAACGCCGCCGCCGCTTCCACCACTACCTCGGCTGCAACCAGTTCCAACCCCACCGCCACCGCCGCCGCCGTCGCATCGTTGCTTGACCCTCCTATATATCCAGCTCCTCTTAATGCATTTATAGCTGGTACGCAGTTCTTCCCACCCTCTAGATCATGAGAAAAAAAAAAAAAAAAAAAATTGCCCTAAATTATATATGTTCTTTACCTAATTTTTTTTTCTTAATTATTATTTGTGAAGACATTGTTCTTTGTATTATGAGAAACTCGAAGCTAGCTGATCTTTTTCTCTTTCGAACATTCATCGAGCTAGAAGATTAAGAGAGTTATGAACACGAAAAAATAAAAAGAACCCAGAAAAAATAATCGATAAAAAAAACATTGGAAATATTCGTCGTTAATATTTTCCAACAAAATTTGTAAGATTGAAGCTTCAAATATATGATTTGTCTCTCTCTACAATTAATTAAGGAGCTTAATCTTGTAATTAGTGCTTAATCAATCAATAAGGTGAAAGTTTAGGCAAACTTTGACTAGAAAAAACAAGGAAGAAAAGGGAAATGAATGGCAGTTTCGTTCTAGCCACCATGTTGATCGACCTCGTTGCTGTTGACTTTCTTCCTTTTCTGTCATTCATGGCTCATAGTCTTATACCACTGAATATCAGTAGAGAGCATAGAAAGTTCGAAAAGTATATTCGACGATAATTAGGGGCATTTTAGTACTTTCCCACATGTCAGGGTGGCGGTGGTGGAGGCGGCAGCCATGGCCTCCGTCGATTCTCTCTCGGTTTCCGATTGCATTGATGTTGGTTGTTGTTTATTATAGCCAATATGGAGAGTTGGTTGCATTAGTGAAGGTGACATTAAAGATTTATTATGACTTTATAATTAGGTAATTTTTTTTTCTTCATATAATTCAACTCACTTATTACAATTAAATGTCATTTAAAATTCGTCTTAGTTAAAAAAAATTATTTAAATAAATTATATTTTATAAATCCAAGAAAATATAGAAAAGATTCAAGTGGATTTCGAGCTGAAACTAATCAATTGAATTGATCGGTTGATCGGTCAATTTAATAAATTATTTTTAAAAAGTCAACTTAGTCGGTTTGACATTGGTTCAAGTGAAAAATCGAGCTCGAGTGACTGACCAATGCTTACCTATTTTTTAATACATTATTTTTAATTTTTTTTTCACTTTAAAAATTAATTAAAGCATGCTTTGTAAAAATAAAAAAAAAACCAAAAGGAATAAAAAATAACAATTCTCGAAAAAGTAATTAAATTTTTTTCCCTCACAAAAAGTATGCATTACCATTTCCACGTCATTCATGAGTGTTAGCTGTGCTTCATATTTAAAACTTTGCATGTGAGTTGCAATAATGCCGAATAAATAAATATAATAAATTTTTTTAAAAAATACCCAATATTCATACGTCATGCTTATTTATAATTAAATTAAAATTTATTTCCAAGTACATTAATTTTCACATATTTTATTTCATTTCCTAAATTTGCAAATATATATATATATATAAAACTTATTCCTACCAAAAGTTATATACGGTAAGTAAGTCGTTGTTGTTACTTTCTTGCTTGCTTATATAACGTTTCTTTCAAAAATCTCTCTCTGCACTTGTTTTCTAAAACCTTCCTCTTAAACCGAGGCCAGAGGCTCGAGTATACGCCGCTTGGCCGTAGGCGACGAAAGTCCGATATTTCCTTACAACATGGTTACGTTACTTACTCTTCGCTTCTAAGAGTAAAAATAATCTACAAACCAACACGAGTCGTGTAACTATAAAATTCTTATGATTGAGTTACTAAAAAAATGAAGCTGCACTTTATTGGTATAAGTAACGACTTTGCATTTTTTTAAATTTTTTTTAGTCTTATTATCCTGAAGATCGCTCTCATTCGGATATGATCTAGGTTCATTTATGTACCTTTACTTACACGTGTCACAAATTATTTTATTAAACAAAAATTAATTGTGATATTAAAAATATAATCGCGTATTTTAGTTTTTTACTTTTTTTTCTTTTATTTTTTTTAAAAATAATAAGAATTTAAAATATATAGTGAATAATTATTAATTTTGTTTCAACTAAATTAATATTTAATAAATAATTTATTTTGGAAAGAATTATTTGAAAAACAGAAAATAAAATAATTATCACAAGCACTTAATATATTAAAAATTTAAACATATTAATTTATATGTACAATTAATTGTGATATTATTGTTTTCTGAAGGATCTAAAATTGCTACTCTTACTCCAAAAATCAATCAATTATGCTGAATTATTCTCTGATTCATCACCATCATTATCACTATCAACCTATTCATTCAATCTTAACCTAGCTAGCATTATCAGCCTTAAAGATTTGTCTTTGATCGGTCTCTAATAGCACGATCGGCCTTAAAGTTATTGGAGACCCAACTTTCTACTGTCGAGAACGACAACTTTTTGATCGTCTTACCATTGCACAACCTCGATTTTTGTGAGATTTCATATCGGTTGGAGACAAGAACGAAACATTATTTATAAGGCTGTGAAATCTCCCCTTAAAAGACGCGTTTTAAAAACCTTGAGGGAAAACTCATAAGGGAAAGCTCAAATAGGACAACTTCTGCTAGTGGCGGGCTTGAGCTGTTACAAATGGTATTAGAGTTGGACATTGGATGGTATGCTAGCGAGGACACTAAGCCCCAAGGGGGTGGATAATAAAATCTCACATCGGTTGGAAAGAGAAATGAGTATCAGCGAGGACGTTGGGCCTCGAAGGGGTTGATTGTGAGATCCCACATTGGTTGGAGAGGAGAACAAAACATTATTTATAAAGGTGTGAAAAATCTCTCTCTAGCATACGTTTTTTTAAACCATAAGGCTAACGACAATACGCAATGAGTCAAGACGAACAATATATACTAGTGGTGGGCTTGAGCTGTTACAAATGGTAGACACTGGATGGTGTGCCAGCAAGTATGCTAAGCCTCGAAGGGGATGAAAACCTAGGGGATGAAAACCTCTCCCTAACAAACGCATTTTAAAATCATGAGGCTAATGACAATATGTAACGAGTCAAAGCGGACAATGTCTGTAACAAATGGTATCGGAGCGGACAATATCATATCATTAGTGTAGAGATATCTTAGCAGCATTAACGATCATATCCAATAATTTCTCGGGTCTACGCAATTGATCAAACAAAGAAAAGAGAGTCGAGAGCGAGCAATGAATGAGCGTCGTACTAGGGAGTAGGGTTTGGGAGGAGAAGACAAAAGGGCTTTTAGGCCTTAATGTGTGGGGAAGATGTAGTTTGGCTTAGCATTGTGTAGTTAAAAGAGTAGGGGGGTGGGCATGGGATGGCATAGCAACATATGTCCCATGCGCATGCACAAAAGGCAGGCAACCAGGCAGCCCGGCCGGCTGGGCTGCATTAATGATATCTATTTTGCTATGTTTGGGTAGCGATTCTGCGGGAGAGTACACAATGGAAGGGTGGTCCAAACGCCAATCGCATGCTTTAGCTCTTTGTTGCTGCTGGCGGTGGCCTGCATGGCTCTTGGAAAACAGTACATTCTTCATTCACTTTTATGCTTGATTTGGAGACGCTGTGGTTCATTATTGTGTATTGCCATTGGTTTTTACACACTGTTTTTGTGTCTGTCAATGCTATGCTAACCCTCCATAAATGCTACTCTCTTTGTCTCCTAATGCCTAGGATGGAATTTGCCCACACTCTTTTTTTTTTTTTTTTTTTTTTTTTTTTTTTGTAAGGATATTGTATCGTTCCGAGTACAGGAGTGTGATTTTGAAGCGATGAGCATTTATGAGTTTTTTTTTGTTTGGTAATATTTGAGAGTGAAAATTCGAACATCTGATCTTTTAGATCTTGGAAGTTTAGGAACTAGACTTGTAATTTCACTTATGTTCAAAGAATTTAACATAAACATGAGATAAGATGTAACATTCATTATAAGGGTGAGATCCCATTTCAGTTGGAGAGGAGAACAAAACATTTCTTATAAGGGTGTGAAAATCTCTCCGTAGAAACGTGTTTTAAAACCTTGGGAAAATCTGCGAGAGAAAACTTAATGAGAACAGTATTGACTTGTGGTGGGCTTGGGTTGTTTCCAATGATATCAGAGCTAGACACTGGACGAAGTGCTAGCGAGTACACTAGGCCTCCAGAAGGGGAGGTTGATTTTAAGATTACTGATTGTGAGATCTCATATCAGTTGGAGAGGAAACGAAGGGTGTGGTTTTAAAACGTAACTTTGAGGGAAAGCCCAAAAAACTGCTAGAGGTGGGCTTGTACCATTACAAATTGTATCACATCAGTTGGAGAGGAAAATGAAGGGTGTGGTTTTAAAACCTAACTTTGAGGGAAAGCCCAAAAAGTTGCTAGAGATGGGCTTGAGCCAATACAGATGATATCATAGCCAGACACAAGATGGTATGCTAGTGAAGACGTCATCAGGCCCTTAAGGGGGTTGATTGTGAGATTCCGTAATAGTAAGATCTCACATTGATTGAAAAGAGGAACGAATGATGTGGTTTTAGAACCTAATCTGAAAAGGACAATAGCTAGTGATGAGTTCGAGCTCTAATACAATGCAACTAAACTATATCGCTAAAGCGAGTTCATATTAAAGGGTAGCATATGCTACAACAAACTGCCCGTTTGTAGCTTTCCAAGTTGTTTTTAGTTAGCTTTCAAATGAACAAAAAATATATCTCTCCGAGTCATGGATATTCATTTTTAGATTTTGAAATATCAGCTAATCAATCGTATTCTATAACACGGGCAATAATATTTTATATTAAATTTTTTATTGTTTTTACGTCAAATCACTGATTAAACCCAATAAATATGCATATCTAGAAATCGATAAGGCGTGAATATGCATAACTAGAGATCAATAACACGAACGACCAAAATTATATATGTTAATTATATTCAAATTAATTTAATTTTTCATTAATTTAAAAGAAAAATTGAAATATCTTTCGAGAAAAAAATTGAAAATATATCTCAATTGCCACTCCAACATTATGATTAAATATTTTCAATTCAATACTTACGAAGATTATATGTAATGGCCCAAGTTCAACAACAGTTTTTCCTTAAGATTTTTAAAACACGTCGGCTAGAAAAAGGTTTTCACTCGAACGTGTAGTCAAAAGTGACTAAAGAGTCGAACAAAAGGTGTACTTTCCTTTATTCGAGAGCTCCAGAGAAAGGAGTCGAGCCTCAATTAAGGGGAGGCTATTCGAGAGCTCCATAAGCCTTAAGGGAGACTTATAGTGTACTTTGTTCGAGAGGAGGATTGTTGAGAATTATTAGGAGTGAGTCCTCCTCCATTGGTTAATTTAGTGGAAGATCCTGAGTTTATAATAGAGGAATACTATCTCAAACGAGACCTTTTAGGGAAGCCCAAAATAAAGTCATGAGAGCTTATACTTAAAGTGGACAATATCATACTATTGTGAAGAGTGATGATTCCTTATGTAGTATCAGAGTCATGTCCTTAACTTCAAAGTGGGCAATATAATATTAGTGTGGAAAGTCAGTCATACCCTTAACTTAGCCATGTAAATAAAGGGAATGCCTTTTTAAGGCAGGACAAGGACAAAGGGAAACTGTGATGGGAAATTTATAAATTTTAAACCTTAAAAAAATTAAGGATAAATTATAAATTACCTTGTATAGTTATAATTTAAATTTAGGTATTTAAAGGGATTAAATTCTTAAATTTTATAGTTGCTATATGTGTAGTTTAACGAAAAATCAAATTACGCGCGAGCAAAAGAAGGCACGTCGAAACACCGTTGAAAGGGAGCGAAATTGCCCAACGGTCCGAGGCAGAACGATAAATTACGTGATTCTGGTTTCTGTTTCTGTTCGTGATTCCCGCGGAAATTTCCTTCCGATCTACCTTCATCGCCGGACATTTCGCCGGGGCCTGGCATTTCTGTGTGTTGAGTTTTTACGCGAGCCAGAGTTCTTGATTGTTTTTCCATGGATCTACTGCGATCGGAGCCGATGCAGTTTGTGCAGCTGATCATTCCTAATGAATCGGTGCACCGGACGCTTTCCTATCTCGGCGACCTCGGTCTCTTCCAATTCAACGATGTGAGTCACATTGTATTCGAAATGATCTTCTGGTGATGGATCTTTTTGTTTATCATGTTAGGTTCCGTTTCTTTGTTCTT